AGGACACGCGACGGGAGAGAGAGAGAGGACACGCTACGGGAGAGAGGAGACACACTATGAGAGAGAGAGAGAGAGAGAGAGAGAGAGAGGACATACTACGGGATAGAGGAGACACTACGGGAGAGAGACAGGACACACTATGGGAGAGAGGAGACACACTACAGGAGAGAGAGAAGACACAGTACGGGAGAGAGGAGACACACTGCGGGAGAGAGAGAGAGGACACATTATGGGGGAGAGAGAGGAAATGCTATGGGAGAGAGGAGACACACAGTTAGTGACATGTAACGGTGGTGTAAAATAATACAGTACGTAGGGGTGGGAGCCCAGAGCATCATAGGAAGATCCCAGCCGAGGCCCACAGTCATAGCCACAGTCATGGCCAAACATATTGACACTGCTGCATTTCTCTCAAATAATACATCACTTCTCCCTGAAAACTGTTGCAATAACAAATTCTTTGCTATTTTCATGTTTATTCCTTTTGTTTGCATTGCAACAACAAAATAAGCTGAGAAAAATGCCAAATCTGATCCTTTTACACACTGAAATCTAAAAATGGACTGGACAGAATTACTGACACCCTCATCTTAATATTTCATAGCACACCGTTTGGAGAAAATAACTGCAATCAACTGCTTTCTGTAACCATCAGTGAGTTTCTTCCACCTCTCTACTGGAATTGTGGACCACTCTTCTTTTGCCAACTGCTCCAACTCTCTCAGGTTTGAAGGGTTCCTGCTCAGTGTGGTCCACACCACACAAAGGTTGATTCAACTTTTATAAACATGAAAATAGTAAAGAATTTATCATTGCAACAATTTCCTTATTTGACAGAAACACAGGGCCATGACTGTATAACTATGTTGTGGTACATCAAATCAAACGTCCTTTGGCCATAATCATACTCATATCTATAGCCACATGCTGAGTACTATCTTGTTTTATTTATAAATAATCTTTCTAAATTATCAGACATAAAATGAATTATTCAGAGTGAATTCCGACAGAGTAGTTGTGATTACAGTTAATTTTAAGCAGGTGTGGCCATTAAAACACATTTGGGTAACTGATCTCATGCCTCCCAGTCTATGCGCTTGTCCAGAAAATTGCAAATACACCTGCGACTGCAATAAGAGATGGTCTGAGTACATGTTATTGCTATTCTGGGTAAAAGTGAGCAGCAACATTCAGCATATACATGGCCTCAACTGCGCCTCTCCTGCCAGCTCAGTGTAACCACTTTCGTTCATAACAGGAAAACACCAAACATGCCAGTGCCAAAAAAGTAGCCATGCACCTGAGGAAAATTGCAGAACGACTGGATTTGAAGCAACAGAAATTATGCTGGTAGGAAAATAGAACGCAGAAGTGTGTGTCTATATACACTTGTCCATGTGGTGTATCTATTGGCACCTTTTGTTCTTTCTCTTTTGTTCTGATGAACCAAAATGAAACAATGAACCTGCTGACTTCCTCCCAATGAGGAAATGAATTGAGTTCAATGGGGGAGCAGTTACCACATAAATTTGAGATAATGTGATGGGATAGTTTTGAAAAAACAGAAAAACCAGAGTTACGCAATAGTTGCTGGATAATGAGGCAATGCAGGATTCCT